CTCATAGAGCCCAGCCTCTCGGATAATCTGCTCTGCATACATGTTGAAAAGGTATGGAGACAGGATGCATCCCTGGCGTACACCCTTCCCAATTTTGCTGTATTTAATTCATGCAGCATTAGAAACTTTAGTTAAAAAGCCACTGTAAGTTGGAATTAACTCAAAAGGAGTGGTTTTGATTTGGTTTTTTAATTTATTTAGAACTGTTACAGTTGATAATTTTATAAAATTGTTCCTTTAGTACCTAATTGTAACTTTATGCCTGTGAGATAGGTAAAACAGTCATCTCATTTTTTTATACATGTAAAAATTAATGATTGACAAATTAAACATCTTCCAAGAAAATCTTAAACTAAGACTAGTCAATCTTTATTTACCTACTGTTGCTTTTTTAAGAAAAGGATCATGTAATATCTGCCCTTTTATGTTTATTTCATTTAACAGTACACTCTAAGTATATCTGTAATAGATTCTGTAGATTTATTCTTTATTACTGTGTGGTATTTCATTGCAAGTATATACTTTGGATATTTGTAGACTGCCTATGTATTCTTTTAATAAAAAGTCTTCTGATAAACATAGGTTTTATTAACTTCTACTGAGGTCTCATTTATCTCTTTTATCTTTTTCTACTTACACATTTACTGTTAATGTTTATTATTCTAATTTGATAGAAGGTCAGGTCTCACAGTGTTTTTATATAAATTTCATGGTTTTGGTTTTAACTATTAGGTCTTTTAGCCATTTTTAGTTAGTTTTTGAGCAGAGTATTACATAAACATCCTTCCAGAATATTTAAAACATGAATTCGAAAATTATGTGAAGAATTATTTGCCAGTAAGAAAGAACAAAGAAATAAATGCTTCAGGGAAGTGAGGGTGATCAGTCACACTTTACCTTTATTCCAGTTTTCCTTTTTTAAAAGCTTTTGATCACATACCAACAAGAAAGTTCTGTAAATCCTAGGTGACCTATGTAAAGTCTCAAATGAAAGCAAATGCGCATCAGAAGAATGCTAACATGTTTAGTTATTTTTAACAGGAGACAGAAAAAAGGATGCCAAATGAAAAAGGATCTAACAGAGTCATTTTATAGTTGTTTTACCGGTTTAAACTGCAAAACATATTCAAAAGAAAACAAAAAAACATATATAAACTTGTATTAGCTGTCTTACTGTAATAACTTTTCCTTCTTCCATAGTCTCAATTCCCTTTGTTGTTGTTATGTGCCATCAAATCGCTTGTGACTCATGGTGACCCTATGTACAACAGCCCTAAACCCTGCTCTATCCTGTGCCAATTGCACTGCTTCTGACACAACCATCCCGATTACCCCAGTCACTGAATCATTAGAGGGTGTCTTCCCCTCTTGCTCTGTCCCTCTGCCCTCCCAAGCATGATGTCCCTCTCCAAGGACCTGTCCCTCCGTACAAGATGTCCAAAGTAAGTAAGACCAAGCCCCAGAATCCTTACCTCCAAGGAGCAGCCCGGCTTAACTCTCTCCAGGACCAATCTGTGTGTTTTGTTGGCAGTCCATGATACATTCAGTACTTTTTTCCAGTACCACAGCTCAAGGGCATCAATTCTCCTCCTATCCTTCCTAGTAATTGTCCAACTCTCTGATGCATAACAAGTGATTGCAAAGACCATAGCCTGGATCAGACGCACATTAGTCTTCACAGTGACACCATTGCTCTTCATTACTTTGGAGAGGTCCCTAACAGCCAACTTTGCCATTGCAATACATTTCTTGATTTCCTGGCTACTGGTACCAAGAGTGTTGACTGTGGAGCCAAGCCGACTAAAGTTGGTTAACAATCTCAATCTCTTCACAATCCATCCTGATGCTGCCAATTGGTCCAGTGGTGAGAATCTTTGTCTTCTTGACATTTAGCCTCAATCCACACTGAAGGCTGTAGTCTTTGACTGCAGCAAGCACTTCAGGTCCTCCTCAGTTTCAGCAAGCAGGGTTGTGTCATCTGCATAACGCAGATTGTTGACAGATCTTCCACCAATCTTGACCCCTCATTTCTCCTCATAGAGCCCAGCCTCCCGGATAATCTGTTCTGCATACAGGTTGACAAGGTATGGAGATAGGATGCATCCCTGGCATACACCCTTCCCAATTCTGAACCATGCAGTGTTCCCTTGCTCTGTTCTGATGACTGCCTCCTGGTCCAAGTATAGGTTTCGCATTAGAACCAGCAAATGTTCTGGGATTCCCATTCTTCTCAGAGTCAGCCACAGTTATGATTCACACAGTCAAACGCCTTTGCACAGTCAATGAAACACAGATAGACATTCCTCTGCTGTTCCCTGCTTTCAGCTAAGATCTATCTAACATTAGCTACAATATCCCTAGTATCACGACCCTTCTAAACCCAGTCTGGACTTCTGGCAGTTTTCTGCTGATGTGCTGTTCTAGTCTAATCTTAAGCAAAATCTTGCTTGAACGTGAAATCAATGATACTGTTCGATAATTTCCACACTTTGTTGGGTCACCCTTCTTTGGAATGGGAACAAATATAGATCTCTTCCAGTCAGTTGGCCAAGTTGTTCTCCAGATTTCTTGGCACAACTTGGTGAGCACATCCAGTGCAACATCTGTTATCTGAAATACTTCAATTGGTATACCATCTATTCCTGGGGCCTTATTTTTTGCTATTTCCTTCAAAGCAGCTTGAATGTGTCTGCCAATTCCTTTCCATACAATGACTCAGTATATTCTTTCCATCTTCTTTTAATACTTCCTGGATCATTTAATATTCTGCCTAAGCATCCTTGATTATAGTAACCCGAGGTTTGAATTTGTTCATTTTAGTTTTTGTGACAGGATAAAACCCTAAATTTTTAATATTTTTTGAAGTTTTTACTGTCATCTGAGTGAAAGTTTAGAAAGTAAGCTAGTTTTCTACGTAGGACTTGATACACCTTTACTTTCTTGATGTTGGTTGTAATCTCCTAAGTCTAACAGCACTCTTCCTACAGCCTTGCTGGATGCCTTATTCCATTTACACTTCTCGCCTGTTCCTACCATCTGAGCTTTCTTTTTTGGCAAATTCTGCCCTCTCGGTCTCTTTTAGTTGACCATATTGAGTAGTGCCTTCCACCTTGGTGTTACTACTCACTTGTCTATAAAAGTGGCAGAAAGTTGATCCTGAGGGATTGGTTCAGTTCCAGGTCTGAAGTGTGTCTAAGAGTAACTAAGAGTCTTATGTATTTTATTAGTTTCTATAAGAACAGAAAGTTTGCTGTTACTTTTTTTTCCCTTTTCAATTTTGCTCTACATCTTTTCTTTTGAAAAAAATTCATTTTAAGAGAACTTTAAAAAAACAAAACATCCAAACCCATTTTACCTGGACTGTGAGTAGCTAGCAGTACTTATTAAAAGAAACCATTATGTCAAAGACATATAGTAAAAATGACAATCTCACCAAAAGTAATCAACATATTTAACACAATCCCAATACAAATACAAAACCAATTTTTCAAAGAGAAAAGATAATCAGCAAGTTTATTTGGAGAGGAGAGAGACCTAAAATAAGCAAAGCACTTCTGAAAAATAATGAAGTGGGAGAAGCCGCACTCCCTGATCTTAAAAGCTACTACAAAGACATACTTGGGAAGATGGCCAACCTGAGCAGATAGCAGAGCTCACAGCTTCACAGCCAACCTTCAGACAACCTTGGTTTGAGTTCTTGTTCTACTGTCTTTATTACTTTTTCATTCTTGAAGGCATCTGTTCATCACTCTGGAAGCCCCTAATACCTACTTCAAGTTACAATTGGACCACCTAGCGAAGAGAAAGGGAACATGATGGTGGCACTGGAGCTGGAAGTGTAGTCTTCAGTTAGGTCCAAGGTCCAGATCTCAGAAGAGCTTGGGGGATGGGCAGAGAGTTGCCTGGTGTGCATTAGGAACTTTAT